CGCTGTTTGCATTTGTGATGTCTACAGCTGTATAGGCATGGCAGTCGTAAGTTACCATGATAACCCATGCAGGCGGAGGTGGTACAGTCGGCGATGAAGAAGAAGGAGATGGAGACTGAAGCATGAATATGAGATAACGGTCAGAGGAAAAACAAATAAATGAATTAGCTCACATGGAGAGAAACATCAGAACCCAAATGTCGATGTGAAGGTCTGCGATGGCGGAAGTGAAGGACATCGGCGATCTTCTGGAGACGAGTAGGAGGTTGAGCGGTCTCGGTCCGTTCAACGAGTGCTGTGCCATCATCAATGGTAATGACTGAATGACTCAAATCTGAGTGTGCTGTTTGACCAGGAGTGCTTGGTGGCGGAGTTGATTCAACTGCATTTGAGCTCTGACTCGAGGGTGAGGATAGATTGGGATTTGAACGGGATGGAGGATAGTGGTTTGGCAGATCGGTCGTTGTTAAGGGGGGAGCCGGACGTCTTGGAGGACGAGATGGTGGAGTTGGAATTACTGATGTTGGATGTTGATTCAAGGAAGAGTTAGAATCCTGTGGATGATGAGGAGGGTAACGAGGACGTTCATCCTCACTACTGCTAGAATCGCCTGGATCTGGATTTGATAGAACAAGGACACGACGAGGTCTAGGTGCGCTCGACGACCTAGTATCCTCTGACATAGAGTAGGAGGGCATTAACAGCTCTCTCCAACGGTTTCCTGATCTGCTTGTAAGCCATGATTACTACGATGATGAAAACGGTGAAGTTGGATATTGCACCTTGCTGGCTGTTTATATATCCTAAGAATACTTTATAAAGAGTACTTATACTCGGACGACGAGTATTATGTGTAAGAAGGAAGAGAGTTCGTCGTAAGGTGGTCAAACTTGTCCGTTGGCGCTGGAAAGTGGCATCCAACCGTAAGCTTACTTAAGCCCCAATGGGGGAAGACAAAAAATCAAATCCACCATATATATATGATGCCGTTAACATCCTCATGGCCGCCATGCATAGTTATGGTACCTTATGGTAAGTAGTACCTCCTTGTTCTTTCCGTTGTTCTTCCAGCTCGCAACCCGGGTTACTCTCACCGTGGCTAAACCGAGTTAGATCATCAGTTACGCCGGTTATTCCATGGACCCGTAATCCTAGGAACAATATCAAATGATCAGTGAACCGAAACGGGTTTACTACATAATCTCTATCGACAATATTTGTGTTTTATAGAGGACTAGTTCCTCATTTTCTGACAAAAGCTACTTACGACCAAAGACGGACTTGAAGTGAAGTCTCCTCGGAAATGTAGCAACTTACAACCTCAGCGCGATAGACGATGACTTCCACACGACGAAAATGTGTTCGACAAAGCGATCGATGAGTCGTTTCCATATCTGAACACGAGACAATAATGTCAACAACTTGCAACCTCACCTCAGTACGATAGACAATAGACGAAAATGTATTCGGCAAAGCGAGCGACACTAAATTTATGAGTCGCTTCAAATCCAAACGCCATTTTCTTCGAATGAATGATTTTGGAGGTAAAGGTTGAACCTGTATGTAAAAAACGATGCCCCGTGCGAAAATGCTGTACCTTTGCGCAACAGCCGAGATATGTTCACCAAGCGAGCGACGCTCGGTTTTGTACCCTGCTTCAAACCTCGATGCAATGTCCTTTGGGAACCATGACAGACCATGACTCACCTCGGTACTCCGCTTACCATTCGATATACTATCGTGTGCCTTTACACCCTACCGCGGGGGTATCCTTATATGTGGATTTGAGATCTCGGTGATTTAACGTCTCGATCAAATGACAACGTTGACGAGAGCCTATAAATGAACAGAATCAGTCGACAATCACAAATGTCTTCAGTGGGACTTTGAGTGAGATATAGCTTTCAATTGGTTGCTTACTAGTGTGATGCCATCACAATACGCAGAGTGGAATCCACCACAGCATGTGCGATAAAGGGACTGAGGTACTTGCTTGAACATGAGTTGACAGAATGACGTCTGAGCACAGGACGAAGTGCTAGACGTAGCCTCGCGCTATGAAGCTAGTACTCATTAGATTTACGACTTCGTTGCTCGACGTGCTTACTATCTCTGTATTCTCGTTGTCTACGTGTTTCTCCCGCGTTCGTTTTGCATACTTTTTGCCTCAGTCGAGAACTCTATGTGAGTCTGGATGAAATGTCTTAGCGTGCATTATGCTTAATCCTAGCACAAAGAACAGGTTTTTCGCCAGTTGGGGGGTAGGGGTTTTGGCTGTGATCTATGCTAGCGATTATGGATACGATAGAAATCTGCCGCGTCGGTTAGTGAAAGCAAGAATATGATTCACATCGAACGCAAGGTACCTGAGAAGTGAAATCAGAATTTCACGAAACCTTTCGTCGTAAAAACTGACGTAGCTACGAGCTACGATGGGTTGACTGTTGTCTAGTTTTGTCAAGTCCCAATAAGTGTGGGGTGACAATGCCTAGAAGATCGAGTTTGCTCGCTTGTTTATGAGGTTATGACTAGACAACAGTCAATCTATCGTAGCTGCATCAGCGTCAAGGTAGCATACGATGAAACAATCTAGAGACATACCCTCAGCCGTAGACAACGGATTGAGGAAAGAAAGTAGTAATGATAAATCATGATGGCCTGCGAGTACAGAACTCGAACAAGTGCTTACTAATCGAGTGGGAATCCTAAACCACGACGCGTCTTGTCCTATCTTCTCGTTGCTTATTCGATTCTCGTGGTCACCTGTGCCCATCACTGTTGTTGCAGTGGTGTCTTGGGTCGCGTCGTCGTTCCTTAACGTCACGTGACCCACTTACTTACTCCTCACGATACACCAACCAACCAAAGCGGTTAAAGCGGCCGCAGCAACCAGAACCCTTTCCCAACTGGCAGACATGTGTTAGCATGAAGCACAGTCAGATTTAGAAGACCAATTATATCAAACGCACAAAATAATGTCTAACATCAACAAGCTGTGTCGACGAGCATAGGTTTGAATTATTTTGTACGCACGCAAATAGCCCAATAAGCTTGACTTCCAGACCATACTCCGCTGAGCCGCGTCGTGCTGTCACATGCATGTCTTATGCCATCAACACAATCCGCCCGGGTTACTCTCACCGTGGTACTTACGGTTACTTGTTCCACGGACCTTCCTGCCAAGAACAATCTCAAGTGGATATAAATGCTCACAACTCATCCATGTTACGCCCTCTACTGCATATGATACACTCGATACTATACATGCTGCCCCTCATTCTCGCATAATGGAATCATCTGTTGCTTCTTTTCGGCCCGTCGCCACTAATCCCTCTTGAAGATCAATCTAAGAGCCGCGAGTTGAGCCAACCCAATCGAATCCAAATGCCAAGGCACGAACCTTAGGAAAATCTGCACGGTCCGCCAACATCCCCTCACTCCAGCACAAAAGCTTCAAAAGCTGCACTAGCTTAACCTCTTTTCCCTGACTAAGACTTTCGAGAATTGCGGCATTGACCTCACCCGCAGTTTTCATCCGCTGCGCGGGCGAAAGAAGTTCGGATATAGCTGGAGGGGCCGAGGATGAGGAGTCGAACGCCAAAAGTGCCATCGTACGTTCGAGCTCCGCAAGAAACTCTGGACTTTCTTCACCTCTTGGCGCGAGTTCGTCTTGTGCAAATTTCAATGCCTCTGTGATACGCCCATGCCGAATGTGCTCGATTAGCTTCTGCTGCTGAAGGTGAAAGTACAGTGCAGGGTTTGTATCGAGGATCTAGAATGCAAAAGGTAAGAATTCGTACATCTCACATGTGAAACAGATCAAGGACGGATCATATTGAAGACTGAAGTTTTGGTTTACAATTCTCATCACCGACTTCCGAAAAAGTCTGAGAGTGGTGCATGAAACGTTTTAATCTTACGTCCTTGATATAAAGCCACGAAAAAAGAACACGGGACCCACCTCAGGATTCAGGTCATTCATGCGGGAAATGGCTTCCTCGATATCTCCCCGTTGCAGTGCTTCTCGAATCACCATGCGACTTTCGATACTCTCGAAGTCTACAGGTGGTGGAACATTGGCTTCATCACTGAATTCCTCTGCGGCAGACTTGTATCCCTCGATGACGAGGTAGTCCATAATAAGTCGGTTCAAGTCACTGACAAGCAAGAATGTCAGAAAATGCTCAAGATACAGCGTATAACAAGGATGTATCAGATAATACATGCAATATCTTTTCTCATCTCGAATTTCAGAGAGATTCCCATTGATGATTTTTTCATCTTTTAAGCCCAGAAATTAAGGACAAACACTCACTCTTTCGTGACCTGAACCTCGCGTAGACGCCGCTCCCACTCTTCTTTACGAATTATGGTCCTCGGAGGCTGAAGTTTAAAGTTTGGCCAATAATTGTAAGAGACATGCTGCACGAATGAAGCCTGAAAATACACACCATGGATGTGACGGGGGTGAAGGTGAAACGAATTTAAGCTCTGCGTCACTTCAGGGCAGGTTTGGCAACGTGCAACCTATTTAGTTCTGATTTGGCAGGTCAATACGCGGTCGAATTTAGATTGCAGTCCTTACGTCTTTTTGACTCGTGTGTTGTCTTGTCTTGCTACCGGAATTCGAAAAAGGGCCCTGCAGCTGAGCAGATAGTACTTATCTAGTACCGTAGTGTTCGTGTATCGTTGAGTAGTATCCACAGGTATAGCCATGACCGACCAAAATTAGCAAGTATTCTCTAAGGTTCAAGCGATCGGACTCCGGAATGGAAATGAGCAACCTCACAAGTTTCCAGGAAGGCGTGAAAACGACTACCCAGATGTAAGACTCAACGCCGCATGTAACTTCTGCTGTACCACTTGCAGCGTTGTTTTAGAATTAAATTATTAGCGAATGGAGACTCATGCTGCGTCGCATAAATAATACAATCCATACCCAAGATCGTGCTTAGTTCTCAAGATGTGAACCAAAGGTCCTCCTTGTATATGAATGACGTGCGGGTGCATCGATGCCAGCGGTAGACGGAGATGAGACTGAGAATTGTGGCACAAAGGGGTTGTCCATATCATATTGCACGAAGTAATTGGTCGCTCTCGAATGCGAACGTTACCAGCTGTCGTACACTGTCCAATGTTATCAATACAACCTGAGTTCCTCCACTGCGAGCTGCGACGAGTAAGGTGTTTTGAGCCTACTAGTCCCTGATGAACCATTTGGGCAGATGTCACGCCAACGTAACAGAAACGGTTGACTCTATTCGTCTACGGTCTGTGTGGGGGAGACTAGGCACAAGACGCCTACACTTTTGAGACGATTCCACCTGACCTGATCATGTCGAAGAAATCGTCCTTCCCAATTGTCGCTGCAAAGGGTATCATAGGGTCACTTCAGGTTCGCCGCATCATTTCAGGCACGAACCTGGATTTCCTCTCCCGATAATATTGTCCTTGTGCTTGGCCTTTAGTTTTCCTTTCGGCTTCTTGTCCAACAGGGGCGCTGGAAGCGTAGGTTTCCCTGTTCCTCGCAAACCTTTTGACTGTTCGGCGGCGATGCCTGCCGCTGCCTGCGATTGTTGAATAGTATTAAAGAGTTTCACCACTTGAGATATTTTCAATACATGATAGGATAATGCAAGCAAACATATACGCACCTCCTCGTTGAGCAACCTTGCGCAAAGAGCGTTCGCTCTCGCCGCCCCAACCTCCGATAACATCCCGTATATGTCCTTTATCCGCCTTTTCCTTCTTCTCTATTTGAATCACTTTGTGGGCCTTCAATTCAAGCTTTGCACCATTTTTCTGGCGCGCGATAGAAGGTTTGAGCGATAGCGGCAGGTCTGACGGTGCAATGGTGTCAAGCAGGCCTTGCAAGGTAGCACCAAACTGCGAGGGCTCTGTTGCCCGCCGCTTTCGTTTTAATGTTTTCTTCGACTTTGTTATTCTTTTATCCGCAATTTCAGCCTCCGTGTCCGGAGAATCGTTGTCTTCTGATGAAGAAGCAGAGGTCGTGGACTGCTGTGCAGCATCGAGATCATTGTCACTCTGTTCGTGGTCTGCACCAGACGCGTCAACATCGCTATCTTCTGATAGCCTTAGCCGTTTAGCGGGCATGATGTGGTTGAACCAAGGTGGATTTGAAATAAGTCTAATTTTAATTTGGACAACTAGTCACTTTGCTCACATGCTAGCATTGAACTACACGAGCATGTTTTAAATTTTAGTTTTACACCATTCCCGCAAGCATCGAGGCCCTACAGATCATTCTTTGTACAGGCGATTGTCACAAAAATCTCTGTCTCGCCTGATCGCGGTCTTTACAAGGAGAAGATAGGTCCCGTCTGGTAGTCAACGCGGTTACCGGCAACAGCTACCTTGCTGTCATCAGTGACCCAACGTTAATCCCAACGTTTTATCATGACAATGATTCCTGTATCGCTTGGACCACTGGATTTCTCCCCGGAGCCTGATCTTCATCCTTTGTATCCGAGTTCAAATCTAATATCCCACTTGCTGTCACCCGATTCGGGCTTAGCACCCTCCCAGAAAGCTGAACTGGTATCCCATTCACTGTCACGAGCATGCGTATTTGGGGATCTATCTCTTCTCCAGTATCTTTTGTCTGACCATCAATCACAACTTTATGTCGACCTCAGCACACGCGACGAAGATGGGCTTAGCTTGATCAGTCTTGCAATCCTAGGTTTCGGGTCTGAATCGGAGAGAGATGTCGAACGTGAAGAGTGTGTCCGGCTGCTGATTGCACAGGGAGCTGACGCTACCTCTGCAGATAAAGGTGAGTACATCGCTTCCATCTCACCCAGTTGTTGACATCTCGCTATTAGCCGGCTGGACCGCCCTCCATCACGCTGCAGTTCTTTGTCCCCCTACTCTGGTCTCCCATCTGATGACGCATGGATGCTCTCCTTTCGCAGAAACACGCCGACGGCTGACACCGCTCGATATAGTGACTGCTCACACTGTTCTGCCAGGACGTGATGACATTGCGCTGTTACTCGAAGAAGCAATGCGGAGCCAAGGGTGGATGGGAGGCAGGATGGAAAAAAAGCGAAGAGCGTTGGACGAGCAGCTAAAACGTAAAGGGAGACAGAAAAGCGTACGCGAGAATATCTCAAAAGTGCTTGGTCTACAGAATCAATGGTGGGGTTCCCGTGAAGAAGATGAAGGCTTGTCATCAGATGATTCTGATGGCGAGGATGATCAACTCGACGAAGAACTGTATGTGAGTTGCATATCCTCCTTGAAATTACACTTGCGGTTGCCTTATCTTGTTATGGAGACTCCGAAACTAGACTTCACATCTATGCTCGCATGGTCTCCGCAGGAGCTTTCACATATTTTCGATGCAGTCATCACGACCTCCCATACTTCTGTTCGGAATTCTCAACCTGCCATTACTTTATACCTTATGGCGCGTTTTGCATGCTTAACATGCGATCAAACCTGGCTTGAAGATCTTGTACTAGGAGCGACAGATGCAATCGAAGAGAAGTTCTTTGTGTGCATACTTGTTACTTTTATGCTCTCACCACTAATCCAGTCACTCAGAGCCGTTCAGAAGATATCACTTGTCTTGTATTTTGCTTATACAACGCCACCATATGGTTGCACCTCATGCAATGCGACAACGCTATTAATGAGTGTTGTGAAATGCTGGGCTCATTTGAGCTCCTCGAGCAAGTGATCAACTCTGTGTTTGGTAAGTTTCATTCGGTTTCGTTTGGTTTTATTTTTTATCCCTGACGTCGTCTGAAGTATTCATCATTCGTTACGCCGAGCGTAGGATAGATCAATTACTGGACGCAGCGATACTGGACAGTTCGCTCGTGGCATCGGGATTTGAATCCGTGCAGTTCGAATCAGAGTGGTCATTCTTGAGGCCGTTTAGCGCCAAGAAAAAGAGTGCGACAAACACTCCAAATCATGGAACACCCAAGAATAGCACACCGTCTTCACCTCCTTTTCTACCGAGTCGTCCACCATCTCCGTCCCCTATGTTACTCGGCCCCGCGCCTGTCACAGCTAAAGGATTGACATCGTTGAGACAAACCCTTTCACGCGCAAAAACACCTTCGACAGCGTTCAACACGCATTCTGATGTCCCACAAACTACAGGATTGCGGGACATGACTTCGTTCTTGACGGCGCTACATACACTTTTAACCCTTTCAGACGTCAATCCTGTGCTAATGATTCAATTCTGGTCTCAAGTGATGTACTGGACTTCGTGTGAGTGTATTTTTCCATTCTTTTCCACTTATAGTTGACTCGGGACGTTAGGTGAAATATTCAATCGAATTCTGACCAGGAAAAAGTATCTCTGCCGGTATGTATTTGTTGCAAACGCAGTTTACCAGTACTCACACATACCGAGCATAGGTCTAAAGCGATGCAGATCGGCATGAATCTGGTTGTGCTGGAAGAGTGGATAGAAGATATGGGTCTACCTCGTGGAATCGCATCCCATCTTACACCTGTACGGGACTTGCTGAATTGGCTTCAGGTGAGGTCTCAATACTCGAATTTATGTTGCCGTCCGCTTAATGTTGCAATCACAGTGCCTGTCATCGATTACGGATTTTTCCAATCTAGTGGCTACGATACAGACAATGAAGAGTATTAACCCGTTACAAGCAAGTCATTTATTAGAACATCACAATTTTATGCTTACCGCTCAAACCCAGATGCGACGTGCTGTGCGGGATTACAAATATGAAGTTAATGAGGGGAGGATGACAGACGAGTGTATTCAGTATTTGACGCAGCTTCAAAAGGACTGGGAACGCCATCGTGTTAAAATGGGTGTTGAGGCCCTGCGCAAGGAGGTATTGCCCTGGCTGGTATCTTTGCTAAGCGAAACTAACGCACCACCAGATGGGCGAGCGTGAGCGGGAACGTGAGCTAGAAGATAGCATGGCGAACGAAGCTAATGCAAGCCTCAACGCATCTTCAGAAACATTTGCTGCCCAACATGGCATCGACGACTTGTTCGATCGTTCGCATTCACAATCGGAATGGGAACCAGCCAAGGCACCTCAGGTTCTAGGGGAGCTTCTAGATTCTCGCCATATGCTGCCCCTTTTCCTTCCGTCAGACCCTCGTGTGCTTTCTGCAACGCCCGAAAAACGAGTGGTCAGCGGATACGGTGAACGAGCAGGTGCGCGAACCGCAGCCCACGCTCGGAACACTAGCCAAGCAAGCACTCTCGATGGAGGGCCAATGAAGTGGAGATGTCGCAGTAGAAGGGTACGAAATGTCGACTTCGAAACACTGCAGTGGGTCGACAGGTTCAGGACTAAACCACAGACCTTCCAACTGCCCGTGCACGAAGAAGAGTACGAAGAGACCTACCCATCCACACCACTATCCGATGGAATAGATGACTTGCACATCAACACCGATGTGCCTAACACCGTATCGCACGGTACCCCACTTACCAAGAGACCATCTGCTCGCAGTAGAGGGCGTCCTAGTCTTATTGGGGATCCTGTCATACCAATTTCTTTATGAATCGTCAGACTCATTTGTTCATTGATCTGTCATTGCTCTACCTCGATATTGCATTCGGATTGGACTTGCATATATTACGCATCTGTCGTGTTACCGTTTCAACAATCTGTCGACCACGAGTTTGATGATAAGGGAGGGTAGTACTTAGTCGAATAGGAAGGAGCCGCTTATCTCAATTGGTCTCAATGATGCCAAAGGGAGACTGACCGCCTTGATCCAGCCCAATAATGGCATAGTCTTGCTAGCTGGCAGACCTTTATAGATGCAGGAAGATAATCATTCCTTCTGATAAAGCCCCACCACAACCACCACAACCACAAGATGACGCAGACAGAAGTATTCTTCAATACCGTGGCTTCCGTAGTGAAACCCGCGACTCTATTGATGCTACTTCCCCAAGACCAGACTAGTTGGTGCCAACAGGTGTGTTATCAGATATTCTCTTTGGCCAACTCGGTCTCAACTTGCTATTCGGTGCTGTCACTTTCCAGTTCGCACAGGAAGGATACAATGTCGTACACTTGACATACCCTCTTCCCCCCAATTCTTCTTTCAAGGATGCGATGAAAGTTGTCAATGACAAAATCATTGCTCTAGGAACTGACTGGGGACTGTTGACATATGGTTTGACCACAAAAGATGCAGAGACCCTTGTATCGAAACTCGCTCTCTCGCTCGCAGATTTGAAGGCTTGTGCTCACTTTTGCCCAGATGCTGATATTACCCATGGTTTTTTGATGAGGGACAGCCACAGGAGACACATCCCGTAAGTCGACTATTGCCTCGAGCGTTATATTAGCTTATAGTTGCCGTCCATTTTAAGAGTTACTTTTCATCTTGCTTCTTCCCAAGAAGTGCTCCATGCCTCTCTATTACTTTTCGAGGATCCGGCTAATCTTGGTTATTCTCTCCCGACTCACTCTCGATTACCGGTGCGGGTGTATTCATACCCTCTGGTGTCAAAATCCCCACCGTTTCCCTTCTCGATACAACCCCCCGTCTGTGTGAATGTTAACAACATACAATCGGTCGACCCATATCTTCGCTCGGCCTCTAGTCTATCGCTTACCCGGACCCTCGAATTGTTGAAGGCGCATCTTGGCCCTCACTTCAATCTTGAGAGGCTCTGGGAGAAGCACACTTATTATGTACATGAATAATATGGCGCTAAAGAAGTCACTTACACGTTTTTGGGCAGGAATTCGTCGAAAGAAATGCACCTAGTACGTCAATATATCATTACCATCGCATTCAAAACCACTAAATTCATTCTATCAATAGAGACGATGACTACAATGGTTCATCTCCATTCCAAATGATGAATTGACAGGCAGTAATACGTTGATACAGGTTGCCACACCATACGTCAATCATGTTGCAACGATGGTCGGGGGTGTCGGGTATGACGATCTGACGAGATTTTATAAGGTTAGTGGACCACCGTAACGATGTTCCAGCTCAGCGTTCACCTGCTCGTCACTTAGTATCATTTCACAACTGTAAGGGGTAATATTACCCTATGCATTTTCCGCTTTCACGACCTGTGACAGGTGACACCGCAAGACGTTGAGCTCATTACCGTCTCCCGGACTGGTGACGTATACATAGCTCAGTTCAGGACTTGACCCGCTAAATTTTGTTCAGTGGGCTGTGACAGGATTGTTGATGAGATGATTTTCAAGTGCCACCACACATCTGTACGTTGCGATTCATTGATATCATTCTATGAGCAAGCTAAATTTGCTTTTCAGGAAATAGACTAGTACGTTTTCAAAGGAAAATTCTCCTCATCTTATGAAGCCGACCCGTCGACAGTTTTCTGCCTGGAATAGCTCCTACAGGGAAACACATTGAGATCGCCATTGTCGGGATAGTTGCCTTCAGAGGCGATAAACTTTTCTTTGAGTGAGTGCATTCAGTCACTCTTAGAGGAGTCTAAAGTTGCCGTTATCCTCAACGCTGCTACTACTAGACATCTGTGGGTATTCCTTCAAGATATTGGCTTGTAGGCTACATGGCTCACCCTTTTTAGGTATTGGGACCAAGCCGGGGTTCTTGTGCAGCTTGGACTGCTGGACCCCTCCAATCTTCCTGTTGCTGGGATTGAGGCCGCTAGGAAAGTTTTAGACCCTTTCGGTATGCCCAGTAACACACTCCTGAAAAGATGGCATGAAAGCGAGGGACTTCCAATCGACTGACGGTGGCCCATTGGAGGAAGCTAGACGAACGCAGTTGTATACGATCCAAATATGATCTTTCAATATTTTCAATAGTTAACGAAATTCAGCCCGCAAATACAATATGCAATACATTCTGTACAGTGTGAATTGTACCCCAGCCTCATTGACTCCAACTTGTGATCTGTCGCCAGGTTCATCACAGCATTTGACTGCGGAGTCCGCCGGTAGTGGTTGGGGCAGTGTGTGTAACGTGATACGGTTTGAAATTCTGTCTTGAAACCTATGGCTTGCAGCTTGGCAATCCACATATAATCTCTTTCCTGTACCACCACCTTCACTTGCCAGTAATTCTTTGCCGTGCTTCTGGAAATCATGGCACATTTTGATACAAACCATCCAGCTGGATCGAATTTCCATACAGATCCTTTTGGTGATAACTCGGACAGTCGAAACAAACCCTTTGACGGTTTAGATGGGATAATACAAGACGATACCACAACTCTCGCAACAACTACGAGCGGCATTCCTGCCCTGGACCCTTCATCATTCTTGCGTGGTGCTGGTCGAACCGAAGCACAATCTCTCATCTTCAACTATCGACGTACAAAGTCACCCTCCCTGCCAGCCATACCAAGCCGGCAACCTACACCGTCATTGTCCGAAAGAAATGGTCCAGTTTTCAGTGACTTGAGTGTCCCATATAAGGACGAGGACTCCTATTCAACACGTCCATCGTCTGTCGTTGGCAAGTCAGACGACCACCTGATGCATAATGCTGCAGATATGGGACGCTCAGATAGTTATCAAGACCTGGGTATGTCTTGCGACCTTGGTAGTGTAACAATGGCCTAAACTTTCTAGAATACGCAGAACCATTGGATGAGAACTCCAAGCTTGCTGCAGACAGCGCATCTCCGTTTCAGAAGGTTCTCGGGATGGACATGGGGAAGTACCCTATGGATCAGCGGATCGAGGACAAGAAGCGGGGTATCGGGCGGCAAAAGCATCCTTACGTTGGTGAGCATACAACTGTCATCCCATCAGCGAGATATTTATCCTCGTAGTATGGGCCTTAACAATTATCATGGTTGGCGTTTTCATCAATGAGTTGGTGGTGAACACCAGAGCACAGGGTACCCCAATATCCTTTAAGGTTTGCGAATAAACTGTGAGCACCATATTCGTCGCTGACCTCCACTCAGCCAGTTGTAAATCCCATGCTTGGGCCGTCGGAAAGTGCATTAATTAATTTGGGTGCTCGTTTCCCGCCATGCATGAAAGTTATTCAAGGACTCCCCTTAACTACTCCGATTGCTTGTAAGATAAACTTGTCTTACTTCCTGACGACTCTAACTGACCCGTCTTGACGACTAGGCCTCAATGATACCGCAAATCCGCCAGATCAGCTCTGTTCGATCGAGGACATATGTGGTTTCGGTGGCTTCCACGGCGGCGAGCCCGACCAGTGGTTCAGGTAAGCAAGCTGTGGTCGTAACAGTTCAGGGCCAACATTCAGGACTTCAGATTCATCACTGCCATTTTCCTGCATGCAGGATTCATCCATATCATCCTCAACATGCTCGCTCAGTTGACAATATCCGCTCAAGTTGGTAGTCTTTCTAGTCCAATTATTTGCTCTTATGCCCCTCCAGATAGAGCGTGAAATGGGCTCCGCTGGTTTCTTTATAACTTATTTCGCGGCCGGAATCTTTGGGTAAATCCTTCTTACTTCATTATTTTACACACCAACGTATGGCATAGTAACGTGTTGGGCGGTAATTTTTCACTGGTCGGCGCACCTTCAATAGGCGCCAGTGGTGCCATCTTCGGTACAGTCGCGGTAAGCTGTAAAACCTGTTTACACCTCTTACCTTTTGATCACCTCGCAACTTAGGTTACATGGGTGGATCTTTTCGCACATTGGAAATATCAATACCGACCTGGTAGAAAGGTGATGACAATCACATTCATGCTTATTTCTCTCTTATGTTTTTCCGTAGCTCGCCATCATGACAGTGGAACTGCTGTTCGGTATCGCTCTTGGGTATATACCTTGTACGTGCACACTTATCCTGTCTTGAATATCATCGATAACTTTTTCTCGATAGATGTGGATAACTTCGGCAAGTGACTGTTTGTCTCGTCCCTCAACTCAACTCATAGAAAATTTCAGCTCACCTGGGGGGCTTGTGTATGGGTCTTCTCGTTGGCACAACCCTGTACCCCGTGATCAGTCCAACGAAGCGCCATAAGCTCATTATGTGGGCTTTCCGGCTGGCAGCCATACCATTAGCAATCGTCCTCTTCGTTGTCCTGATTCGGAACTTCTATACTTCAGATCCTTATGCGGGTTTGTGTTTGTTGCGATCACGAAGACATGATGGCTGATAATTTCTTAGCGTGCTCGGGCTGCAGGTACCTGTCATGTATACCAACTGCATCTAACAATCACTGTCAAGGTACAGGTATGTACTTCCTCCTATAATTTATCGTCCGATTAATTGCTGACTGTTGTATAGGTTTTAGCACTAGTAATACCACCACTGGCGGGTCGAGTATTTAAATGTAAACCTTCCGATCTCATACTTGGACATTAACTTCGTGCACTGCATCATCACTTTATGTATATCAATGGCCAATGGACAGTAATACTACACTGATAATTTGACCCACTCCCCAGTGATGAATGCGAGCTGGATATTGCACGTTATATCATGTGCATGTGGACATTAATAACATAGATCATTTTGCGGTACAATAACGACGTCGGTGACGAGTAAGCCCAAAAAGGTACCTACACACAACACGTTTCAAACGACCATCGGGTTTGCTGTGTCGCTCTGCAGCTCATCGACACTAGTGATGATCACGAACTATTTAAAGTCTCGCCCGATGCTTACGTTGGGGTTAAAAACTTTGCCAGCATAATTAATTATCTCACTTCTGACTTCAAGCGCTCAAGCATAAAAACATTCCTGTACTGCCACGTCGCAGCAGACTCTCACCGCCATCATGTCCTCATCCAAAAGACTGTTCTCGCTGAACCCTTCATTTCACCACTATCTAGCGCTGTCTACCGGAGCACTCGCCGTATTGGCAGGGATACTACATTATATAATTTCTGGTTAGTGCATTTATCCCTCATACATTTTGGCCCTGCGTCTAACGGGGTCGCAGGCCGAGCAGATCCACTGCATTGCAATTCCTTGCTTACTAGAGGTACCTGGTTGGATGAGAACCACCAGAACTGGCAACCTGATGGTGTGTTGTCTGTTGCTCAGGCTTCCATTGTCGTGCTCACCCTTTAACCAATAATCAGGTTGTATGCTACACACATACCAATCGAAGGATACCACATCTTGCCTTGCTTCCAGACGCGTCGTTTTTATTGGTGACTCCGTAACACGCTCGCTATATTTCCATTTCATGCATATTGTCGATCCGAAGCTTCCTCCTACTCCTCCTGATGACGACCATAAGCATTCTAACTATTCGTTCACTTCAGATTCAGTAACAAGACTGGATTTTTTCTGGGATCCGTATTTGAATACATCAGGCACTCTTTCTCTCGTTCATGGTCATCTGCCTTTTCCTGGCATCGATGACCGCCCTGCTATACTTGTCCTAGGTTCGGGCTTGTGGTACCTGCGTTATGCCACTACCGGTGGTCTCCCTGCCTGGGAAGCGAATATGGAGAGTCTTTTGGAATCTGTCTCTGCAGCCCAGAGAAAGCCGGCAGATGAGGTGATAATCCTTCCCGTGGAGGACATTGTATCTTCAAAACTGTCTCCTGAACGTGCCGAAACCATGCACTCCTCAGATGTAGATGCGATGAACTCGGACCTCCACCATCGCATCAATCCTCCGTCACCTGCTATCTATTCCATATTCTCCAGCTCCCCCGTGGCTTTACCCGTTTCTTTACCACTTGTTTTCAATAAGATGCTTGACGACGCTAGCACACAAGATGGACTACATTTCTCGGACGACATCGTAAAAGCACATGCCAACATCCTCCTTAATTTGCGTTGCAATCACGTGTGGCCAAAGACGTCCCCTTTCGACAAGACATGTTGCCGCCCTTACCCGTTGCCGTCGTTCTTGCAGCTTGCTATCATAGTAGCTGTCGTAGTGTACGGACCAGTCATGTGGTATCTTGCGTGTGAGCCCGTTCTTTCTTGGGAAACACAAACCTGATAATTATTCAGACACTCGAAGTCCAACCAAAAATATCTCCTTCGCAGGCGAATATAGGCCAGCTGTTGTTTTCGGTTTATCCATTGGCCTGATCTTTATCGCTGATCGAACTGGCTTCTGGCTGAAAGAACAAAAACAATTCAACCCGTGGACATTTGGATTTCTCATGCTATGCTCTCTCGCGGCGGGGCTGACAACGGTGAAGCGTGCGGACAAAGATATGGGCTTCCTAAACCGTGATCAAACCGATGAGTGGAAGGGGTGGATGCAAGGTTCGTCACTACGACATTAATGTCTATATATTCTCACTCTCGTCCCAGTCGCAATCCTTATATATCATTACTTGGGAGCATCTAAGATTTCTGGAATCTACAATCCTATTCGAGTGCTGGTCGCAGCATATTTGTTCATGACTGGTTACGGTCACACAATCTTTTATATCAAGAAAGCCGACTTTGCCTTTCTGCGTATTGCTCAGGTAAGCGTCAGATCCGAGTATGCCTTGTAACAGTATCATTTAATAATGTCGAATTGGTTGTAGGTATTGGTTCGCCTAAATCTTCTAACGGTAGTCCTGGTATACACCATGGACGTCAATTACCTTTCGTACTATTTCTCGCCCCTCGTTTCGATGTGGTATCTCATCGTGTACGGGACAATGGCGATAGGCTCGCAATATAACGATCGCATGCCATTTCTCTTATCGAAGATTGCGATCTCCATGGGCATATTCACGTGGTTCATGACTGAGACGTGGATGCTAGATACCGTATTCGCGTTTCTGGAGCAGATATTCAGCATCCATTGGTCCGCCCGTGAATGGAGTTTCCGGGTAACTCTTGACCTGTGGATCGTGTATTTCGGGATGCTTCTGGCAATTGCTGTAATCAAGATCCAAGCATATCGACTCCCCGACCATCATCTTTGGCCCATGGCGGTGAAAGCGGCCGTTGCGATTTCTATCTTTATCTTGCTGTGGTTCTTCGCATTTGAACTCATGCAGGAAAGCAAGTTCACCTATAACCCATGGCATCGATATATATCATTCTTGCCCATCGTAGCATTCATCACTCTCAGGAACGCAAGTTCTTCCCTTCGTTCATGCAGCTCTCGGGCTTTCACTTTTATCGGCAGATGTTCTTTGGAGACATTCATTATCCAGTATCATCTATGGCTCGCAGGTGACACGAAGGGTGTTCTTGTCCTTCTCCCTGGAACACGCTGGCGTCCAATAAACTTCGTAATCTCCACGATCATATTCATATACATCTCCAATCATGTTTCCCATGCCACAGGAGAGCTTACAACGTGGATATGTGGAAACAAGGAAAGTTCACTTCCCACTTCAACTCGCAATGTCACCCGCCACACGGCCTCATCAGGTTCCAGCGCAGAATCTGTTCCCCTCGCTACTGACGTCCACACGAATAAGGATGGCGACAGTCATCCCGTAAAACCTGATTCACCCGTGCGACCCACAAGGCGGTGGGTGGATAGATTAGCTGATGGGACGTTGCCACAGCGTGAGCCAGGCTACAAGGTGTGGTACAAAGAGTCAGGTTGGATACCCGGAGTAAAAGCCAAGTTGGTGGTGTGGATCGGAGTGATGTGGCTGGCTAACTCATTGTGGGCATCGACATAGCATGGCACTACATACTTATCTGGACTCAACACTAACACTTTGTGGCTTATGTAGATATCTTTATATCATACATCGCAATTGAATCATCGATATTATTGCAGAAACGGCTCGCCGGTGGATACGATACAACAATATTTGGAGTTTGATCTATGTCTATGACAACTGATTGTATCAGCCGCATCCCAGAGGTGGAGCGTTAATGACCTGAAAAAAGGAATCAGCATCAAGTGATTGCATTGATGACATTGAAAAGTCAGTATTAGCATGGATGCTCATCAACACTTGTCCTTTAGACAAGGTCAGGGCTTGACTTCTATTTTGTTCGATCATTCGAGAAGGGAAAGGCATATGATACTCACAACTATCAACGTCGCCGTGGTGAACTACAAAAGATTGGTAAGCATAACGATGCGAATAAACTGAGCATCAAAAACAGCTCAGAAATTTGGGTATAAACGAAAAAATTCATTAGCTCTGTGAGCTTCGAAGTAGCGATTCGTTTGTGTCGTCACCGCGAAATAAGGCTCGACAAGTTGGTGCTTACCTCAATTGAAGCAACATTTCAAAGAGAAAGAAAGAGAAAGAAAGAGCAAGCCTGGAGCCATCCGAAAAAAACCAGGCATTTTAATATGAATGTCACGTGTAATTTGTTAAGGGCTGGTCAAGGTGATCGCCTGCATTCGCGTGGCTGCATTGTGGCCTGAAGGACTTTTGTAAGTGTCCACCATTCTTTCAACAACGAAACCATGGCAAATCTTGTCCATCCTCCGCTTGATTTCTTGCACAACCCAGCCACTCATCCGCCATCCTGCCTGGGCTTTGGTTTTGGCCTCTCAGTAAACTCCGGAGCTAGTTGGCAGTCTACAATGACTATGGGACATACGCAGCCTGCTGCTTTCCAGCAATTAGCCTCTAGCATGAACCTGCCTGCTTCTGCGCATCGCTCACAGAAAAGAAGACACGAATTTGACGATGAAACCGAAAGCTCCAGTCGACATGGCGCCCGGGACGTAGCTATGGACCGAAGTCCAACACCAGAACGCCCTAAGCGTGGGGCACCTAAGCGAGCAAAGATCACCTGTGCAAGTAACTCAAAAGATGACAAAGGCGAGAAAGAAAATAGTTCAGTGAGCTCAGATAACGATGTTGACGTTGGCGTTCTCCTTGGTATGTCGTTTTAGTCGCCTATCGTATCTTGGTAAATCTAACCTGCTTTAATTAGCGAGTTTGCCACCGCAATCACTACTTTCTCTGCTTAATTCCATGCTTAGTGCTCAGCCATCACTTAAATCTCTTATACTACCTCTGATACCCCGTCCGACGCTGGATACAGCTATACAAGCTCTGGAGCAATCAGCTCGAAAACTTCGGGAAGCATATCCTTATTCCAACCCTTCATCATTTGCGCTAGGATCATCATCATCAACGACTTCCTTTGGTTTTGGATCTGGGATCACAAACTATAGAACACCCGCCGGCGGCCTACCATCTGGCTTCACACGTTTCGGCCAGCAGAGCCCAGCAGGCCCACCTGATGGTGGCATGCGAGAATCATACATCCTATCACGTCTACGACCAGCTATACACGAGTTCGTGTCCGCCTCCATGTCATATGTGCCATATTTTTCCTATGCATCACCTTCATTGCCGTTGCACGTCGATTCCGGTGCTTCGTCACAGTCGCTCTCTGCAGCCCTTCAGCTGCAACACAAAGACAGGTCTCATCCATCAGAGACTTTTCTCTTCCTTTCGGCCCTCACGAACCATATCCTTTCTCAACCACCTCTAACACAATCATCTCTTGCTCCTCTGTTACTACCCCGGCTAATTCAGGAGTGGCGAGCCTGGATAGATCGGATAGATGAGGTCGTGAATCAACAAGGGGGGATGTTCGGAGTGGACACCGTTAGAAGTTGGGA